AATATTGTTAAGCGGCAACCAAACCAGAAAAAGTTAAATAAAATGTCATAGGATAGAATAAGTATGTCCATGAAACAGCGTGCTCTCGCACAGGTTTACACTATTTACTGTAGAGAGTTGATCTTGGCTCTGCAAAGAGTGTGTCCTGACATGTGCACTAATGTGACGCATTAGTTATGGGACATTAAATTAGGCTCAATTAAAGCCGGCCTCCCGAGCAGAAACCACAATGAACAATCCGCACTGACACACATTCAGAACATTATTGGTGTCACACGGTGTTCCAGCTGCAGACGGCCTGGATTCTGAGGTGTGAATCTTTAGCCGATAATGTGATCCAAGTGAAACGTGTTTGTGTGTGTGTGTGTCGGCATTTCCTAAAGAACCCACACACAGTTGGCTTTAAATACAGGAAGTAGTTTCTGGACACTCTGAACCAGGTCAGTGGTGCCAATATCTAGTTGGACAGAAAACAAAAACTAACAAGGCCTTCTGGGACGCAGCCAAGAATGTGCAAGAGGCAAACGTGCAGTCAGTAGGTTGTGCTTAACCAGCAGCAGGTGGATGACATCAGAAGAATGTAGACCAACGGCAATTTACGGCCTACAAAAGAGCGCAGTACATGGTGTCATCTAGTTCACTCTGTCCTTTCTGTACAGCTTAAGTACCAAATCATAATGCAACTAAATACTGCCGTCAAACTGCGGACAATTTCTCCCTGCGGTTGCCGACACGAGGAAACAATTAACGCTGAATCAGACCAATGATGAGAGCTACTTCGATTCCTTTGCTCCATTACATTACATGTCATTTAGCTGACGCTTTTATCCAAAGTGCATTTCAACCATAAGGTTACAAGACCCAGAAGAACGAGGGAAATTTCATCAAATAATATTTACAACTTGCTACAGATGAGAGCCATTATAAGTAAAGTACAAGTTTAAGTACATTGTGAGTCGACTACTGTAAAACCGCACAGAGAGCAACAGAGAGGCTTTAAGTTTAATCAGGGCAGCGCATGAGAGCTGCGTTAACAGTAACAGCTGTTTGACGCTTAAGAGTTGACAAGTTGTGGAGAGACTTTTATTTGAAGAATATTCATGTTTTTTTTCTATTAAAATGTTAATAAACAAATGCAAATAAAAGTATCACACTTCTGCATTTCATTTTTTTATTCCAACAACATGAAGCAGCCGTGCAAAGGCCTGAGATGTTATAATCTTAAATGATCAAAAGGTGTGCATCTCAAAACAACAACAATAAATACAACAGGAAGCTATTTATAAGGAAAATATTTATTTTGTGACCACCAAATGCTAAGAAGTTTCTCTGCGGCCAGGTGACGGGCATACAAAGTCAGAAGACAACAAATAAGTACACATTTACGAAGCAAGAACTGCATAGCGTCCGTTTAAAGGAAGTATTGAATGAAATGTCAAAGGT